CCAATATTAACACGAAGATTTCAAATAAAATAATAACTCTTTCAATGTATATTGTAGATTAATTATCTTTAATGTTTTACTTTAACTCCAATCTTTTTCCAAAATATGACCAATATTTTCGTGTCTCACCAACACGCCACCACAGAGAATATTTTGCGAGCGCTGATTTAGGTTATAGTAGAATAATAATATACTTGACAAAATTGTTAGACTGCAGTTCACTCTCGGATAATGTTTATTGGTAAATAAATTTAACCCTCAATCTTAAATACTGAACTAACTTAAAAATAAAAATATTCAGCGAGCACTTAATAAATTTTAATAAGTAGTAAGTACAATATATATATTAATAGTAACTTTAGATATTTTTCTATAAGCAGAAACTTATCCCATTTCGAAATCAATACTAGTTGAGAGAAACTTCAAAACTTCGTCCATACACAAATATATTCAAACGAATTACCAATTTGTCATAAATTCACAACACATACATACATAAATATAGTTAAATAATATTGTGACATGTTTATAAATAAACTCGTCCTGCGAATACGCACCTATTAATTACAATGGGCCAGCGGGCGCCCTTGACGATGTAAGGGCGATGCTACTTGAAGTATGCAAGTATTCCTTACCATACAGAGAAATCAATACCAAATTGAGAAAAGAGCTTACAAATCTCTCTATTAAGGACGTAAAACAAATATATAACTGCCCCCTATTGCATTAAGAATAACAGACAACTATAACTTTATCCAAATAAATTTCTTTGGTTTCCAACATTCATTAGAGAATTTCTTGAACAAACGATAAGCGGATGAAAAATAATAACAGAAAGTGATCGAAGTTCTTTGTTCAACGGGAATGTTATTACATTCGGACAATTCTCTCTATCGTTATCCTAACATTATGACATCATCAACATTCATTAGTTTCTTTACCAATTCATGATTGTCTATATGACATCTACAAGCGCATTTATTATACTTTCTTTTATATATATATATATATATCTAGTACCTACTTTCACTAATTTATTTACTACGATATAATTTTAAAATTCAAATAACCAAAACTAGGTACTGTAACTAAATTACAATGTGACATAACATAATCTATATTTGGTGATGTAAACGCACATTTCAAAATGTTGTAATCCATATAAATGCATATTTAATAATTGTTAATCACGTCAATTCAGGGGTAAACCCGCGATAAGATACAATCTTTCTCAATTTACATTTTCTCTCAACGAATGTTTTCATAGTCTTATTCTTAATTGTTTAGTTTTTAAAATAAATATCAAAAAAGGATGTCAGTATCCTTCAGATAGTTTTAATTATTTTTGTTTTATCCTAAAATTCGATTTCTATCTGTTAAACTTCGCATGACGCCAGTGTCCATCGTAATGTATCGTGATCATCTAGGCCTATGCCCTCGTCACTCACTGAATGATAAATCGCTTAATTTTTCCGAAGTATTACTTATTCTATAATAAATTCTTTAAAGACTCATGTGTTCTGTTACATACGGTCGATAATAAAAAGTCATGTCTTCTGTTTCATCGAGAACCGACAAATTTAAAAACCTATTCATAATAATGGACACATAACATACACGTAAAAACTAATCAGTGATCATTCATGACTATAGTGAGCAGTGTTTACACTTGATAATTAACTAGAATGTTATATTAATGGAGCTGATTAAGCTTGTAAGTAAGGTACTCGTATATCACTTGAAACGTTATGTATGTTCGGCAATTTAGAAAATATTTGTAATTTTTTTTTCCTTTCGTTATATTTTTCTGCTCTTTATTCGAAAATTTCGAAGAAGGTTGATTGGAATGCAACTAGAATTAAATGTTGAATAAACAAGAGAACAAATTTAATAGTTTTTTCGAAAATTCTTTGAGGATTAAATTGTTGCAAATTAGTTTTTGGCTGTAGATTTTTGGCATAGAAACTATTTATTTTAGCTTAACAAAGGCAATAATCATTACCACCAACAATGCCATCGTCGTCATAGTGGTCGTTATAGTCATTATAGTCATTACCGTCAATCATCCACATTTTGTGAAACAAAAATCTGAAAATTATTATTTTTTTTTTTCAAAACATCAGTCGTAGGCACATACACTTTCAAAATTTAGCACACATTGCGCCAATCCAACGAAATTCCATACATGTAGTTCAAATTGATAGTCTCCTTTTTGAAACCGATTAAAAAGGAAATTATTACTTTAGTTTTCATCTCCAGTTTCCACTTAATGTGTAAACATCATGGTTTACACGACTAACGATCATCAACGGTTCGGACATTTGATAGAAACAACTGCTATTTTACATTTCAATGCGTACACAGTTAATCAGTTCTTTATTAGGTGATATCAATAGACAACTATTTATCGGGAAAAGAATATTATAATAAGGTCTTTCCGAAATCTGAGGCGGTTCATTTCACTCGATTAAACACACACATTCACATTTATAGCTTAAGTTAGCCGCATATAATGTAGCTTCCCTAGTAGGTGAAAGAATTTTTTAAATCGGTCCAGTACTTTCAAGGCTTATACGATACAAACAAACAATAAAACCTTTCTTCTTTATATATTTTCATTATAGATTTTCAAACAATCTTCCACGCATTCTCCTTGAACGGACATTGAAACTTGGAACGCCCACTGTGAGAGAAATTCATATCTTTTTTTATCAAATAGATGTGACATTTACGGTTTTTTTATTCTAGTTGTCAATATAGCAAAATATATAGTAACTTCATTATGTTAATAACATATGTTCAACAAATCTTATTTTCAGAATATCTCTAGAGTGTACATACGTCTGAATACATATGTAGCCTTGAATATCATTAATTTCAATGAAGTTCAATGTCCTCCTTAATTTCATAGTTAAAACAATATTAACATTTTCTCGACACAAACATACATAGATCATTTGGCTTTCATGTCAACTTGATTAAATTTTTGGGAAGACTGTTAAAAAGGTATAATCACTCAAATAAAACTTATTTCAAAATATAATTGAAAGGTTTTATTTAATTAAAACTCATTGCTGTGACAGCGCTGAGCTCAATGCCGAGTTCGAAGCTGTATTTATTACAGAATAGCCTACAGCATTAAGTCTACCATTGTACATTTGTGCAATAAAAAATAAATATCGCTGCAGGGCCAATTAAATTAGAAATTTATCCAGAAGCAACACAATATTTTGTATAAATTAAAATGCTTGTTTATACCGTTATGCAATTACAGCAACGACAAGAGTTAATTGAACCTATGCTATCACTCAATAACTGCCCTATGGCAATACTTTAAAGGGAAACTCTAGATTATAAGAGTACGGTGATTATAGTTGAGACTAGGAGGCCAATTCTACTAAATAAATTTTGTTTTAATCGAATCGAAAACGGAACGAAACCGAATGAAAGTACAGTTTTAATGGTTTTCCTATTCTACAAAGTGACATACGATAAAATTCCAGTTCTATTTTAGCTGAAATTGTATCGTATGTCACTTAGTAGAATAGAAAAACCATTAAAAACTGTAGTTTCATTCGGTTTCGATCCGTTTGCCATTCGATTTAAACATAATTTATTTAGTAGAATTGGCCTCCTAGTCATACCCAGAACCCGGCTCGGTGATTCTAGGCCTACATAATAACAATATCAGTGAACTACCAAAGAAGCTATATTTTAACGGAACAAACGGCTAACATTAGCGCCAGATGCTCCATTAAGTGAAGTGATTATCTATGACACCTAGATTAATTTTGTGAAAATATTGCTTGCAATCAAAAAGCTGATATATTTTTTCGGTTATTTTAATGCTCCAGACCGTTTTTAAATGAGCTAAGGTCAGATTTGAGATTTTATGTATGTGTTCCTATATGCAGTCAAATTTCACAAAACTGTCAAATTTTTTAATGTAAAACGGATTGTGGAAATTTTAAATGATGGTATGATATTTAAACAAAAACTTCAAATGTTCGAGTTGATTGTAGGTGAAAATTTCTTTCAAATTATATTTTATTGATAATTTAAAAAGTTGGCAACTCCCGGGTTGCATGAATTAAGCAATACAATTTTCTTACTAGAAAATTATACCTAACTAATAAACTAAAAAAGCAAAAGACATTTTTAAAGTCTATAAAACACGAATTCTGTTATTCGGTAAAATTTATAATTTACGCAAACGATGTATAAATATTATAATTTGCATACAAATTATAATGGTTGTTACCGAACGGCACATTTGCTTGAACGGTAACTAGTTAGTCGTGTAAGGTAGTTTGTTTGCAAGCTGCATCTGACCATTTATATTCGCAATGATATTAGCAATTGAGATTAAGATAAGGACATCTACCAATTATTAACAACCCGTTAAAGAATATATCTAAATCACCTTTCAAAATGTAGTCTAAATACATGTGGAAAAACACCCATTCTTATTTATTGTAAATACAAACTGCAACAAATCAAACTATTTTAAGTTTAAGTTAATTACTATATTTTATTAATAATAGGTACCTACCTAATAATAGTCATTAAGATAATAACTAGAATCTATTAAACAGAAGTAGTCATTGAGTAAAGATTCTAAATGAGGTCCTTCCTCTCCCTGTTATGGCAATTGATAACGTATTTATCAATAACTCACCCTGAGTGCGTTTACTGAGCTTATATTTATATGATAGAACTTATAAAACGCTGTTTGGAAATATTTGAATGAAATTTTCTTTAAACATTTGTATATCAATATCTAAAATAAATGGAAATGAAATAAAAAATGGAAATATCGAAACCATGCCGTGGCATTTAGAATTAAACTGAAAAATGATTTTGTTACAGAAACTTTTCATGGGCGAATCATTAATATGAAAGCAACATTACTCATCAACACTCGTAAGCAGTGAAAAAGTAGAATACAATGATTTAATTAAACTATGTAAAAATGCAAAAATTTACATGAAATCCTTTACCTTTTTCATTAATACAGGTATCTGGTGCTCCAATGACATTTCCAGCCCCGGAGAACTCATTAGGAAGTAAACAGTCCACTCTCCACCAATGTATACTATCACACCCTCTCTGTTCCACTTTCAAAGGTTATTGTTTATTTATTTACAGATATTAATTGTAATTAATTATAGCACTAAAGATAAACTGTCACTCGGTTCAAGTGTGTATTGTTTGTAAGACGATTATTTGTATATATATATATATTTTTAATAACAAAATCTATTGATACTGTGGTATTGAGGGTAGGTATTAAAATAGTTTATTGATAAAGCGCGATGCGCGGCCGCCCGGCGCGTGCGCTGAGTTCGAATGAGCAAAAGCGCCCCGTGCGTACTCTGGCGCCTGCCAAATCGCGTCCATCGCCCGCACAGCACTGCACAATACCAATTCTAGATAGCAAAACAGTTAAATAATAGTCCCCTTCATTAAATTGTGTTTGTGCATAGGTATCTGATTAATCCCTCAATCGGCCCGATAAAATGTATGTCTCGTAAGTAAGGCATAGTTTCTTTAATATTGTAATGTATAAATAAACGTCACGGTGGCGCCGCGTGATGTGCACGCGAAGCCGGTGTGATATGTTGGCGCCCTCGCGGTCTCGAGTAGCGAGATGTGTGTGTACAGAACTATAAAATCGACAATTTATGAAATCGACCAGTTTCAAAACGAGATTTGAGAATCGATGTGGTGACCCTCATATGTGTTAAATAACACATTAAAAAATAATTATTTCGCTCCAAAACCACTCTAAATTAAGTATATGTGAAAGTATGTTGGTTTCCTCCACGTTTAATACTGAACGAAAGATTATTTTCTGATTTTCTATATGATTATGGATTAGGTCCATTTACCTTAAAATTTCTCTTTAATTAAGAAACAGAGAGTCAATAAGGTTTTATTTCATATTTAGGCAAAAGAGTCAAATCTAAATGTAAAGATCTATTAAAATTATGAATAAAATTACCGTTTCTAAGTGATTGTTTTAAAAAAAGTATCTGTTCAAATACATTGGTTAAGTAGTTAAAAATACATACAGTTAGGCATGTTTTCTTAATCATTAAGCCGCAAAATAAGTTTTAATATACTCTTACTTAATTATATTTTTGCTTTGACAATTTCGAGGACATTACCTGATGATATGGTCATTATTTATAACATCACTTCAATGTTTCTTGTGTAGTAACCTGTATGACTTTAACCTCGCCCTCATTTGTCTGCTGATTAGCGTATTATAAAGAAAAACTGTATACTTTATCAAAAAAAGTACCCAATAATATAATAAGTTGTTATTTGATTGCCATTCCTTCAACAGCTTGTGTACAATAAAAACTGTTTGATGTAATGCTACAATATTTGAGCAGAACTTATTATCCACCTCATTTCTACGTTTTTTAGATAATGAAGAACTTTCACAGTTTAAATAAAATAAATTATTTTTCCGATCAACTGAGCCACCGCCTAGCTCTCTCGCTTTAACTATTTATATGTTTATCAATGAATATATTTATATTCTTTTATAACGACATGTTTATTATTATTATTTATATATTTAATCAAACATTAAGGTATATTTTGGCATTCAAAAAAGCTTCGTTTGTAAATTCGACTATTTTTAATTTTGCCGAACTTAATATAATTTTACCTAAAACCATTGATTAAATGTGTAAATAATAAAACAAGGACATCATAGAAGAATATATATATGAATCAATAAAACTTTTTTTCTAGCTGTGGCTAGTTAAAGCGAGAGAGATAGGCGGTCGCTTTCCAGCTTTTACTTTATATATTTATAAAAAAAAAAACATTTTGGAAACATTGATAATTGTACCAAATCATTCACATATTGTATTACTATTTCATTGATGAATGATGAACAAATAAAAGTTGCATTATATTATACCATAACAAAGTAATCTGCAGTCGTTAGCACCCACCAATCCACAATGGGCCCTTGTGGTGGGCCATACCCCTCTCCCTATTCGATTCGATTTTATCCATAGGGAAAGCTTGTTCCCTATAATGTGGACGTTTATAGGATGATGATGAATGTGTATATTATCGGTCAGTTGGGCCTGTAACATTGTTGTTACAAATTTCAAATACGAAACGATTAGAATCGAAATCTGAATTTTCTTTTCTAATGAAATGTTAAAGCTCTAACCTACTCTTATAACCTAAATATCACGTTCACAGCTAAAAAAATAATTAGTAACTTTTAATTCGCATATGTCTGCACAACTAATCCCACAACTAGCACGCAGATTTGCAAAAAAAATATTTAGGAACATGGAGATATTTCAAAATTCTAATTCTCAAAAAAGCTTAAAGTTACTGACATCAAAATAATTTGTAACATTAATATGTGGATTTGGATTGTCATTCGTATATAAGGAGGCCGGACAATGACAATGACAGTTCCGCTTTTCCCACCTAAGGCCTCGTTTTGGGCGCCAACGGTGGCGGTGGCGGTGGAGGTGGCGGTTGCGACAGCGGTGCGGGCTGCGACGGGGGGAAATTAGCCCGTTCTCAACGACAGCGCTCATTTTAATTTATATGTTTTGTATGATATGAGTTGCCAAGTGAAAAATATTTATATTTAATTACTTTTTTATTAGTTTTTACTTATTTAAATGTCAATTAAATTATATAATAAGTTAAGACTGTAGTAGACAACACTATTATCACTCAGTCGCGCATTCGCCGCTCGATTGGCGAGCGTCACTCGTTGCCCACTGACCACCCCGCTGCCGGCCGATTGCCGACCGCTGCAGAACGATTCATACACACTATCAAGTCGCGCGTTGCACCGCGGTCGCTACAGCCACCGCCACCACGGTCGTCTTGAACGAGGCCTAACTGTGCGTCCGTATATTTTTAGTGAGTGCAATGCACTGCGTCGGCCTTCCTTGTGTCACATCTATCCATGGTAATAGTAGCATCAGATTTAGATTTGAAGTAGAAGATTTATTTTGCTACTTGATGAATTCGTTCGGACTCGGAACACTTATACACACTTATATGATATATTTAAACTAATTTTATTTAACAACGATAATGTTACAAAAAATACAGAGCAAAGATTAAATGGGACCTGGCGTGAAAAAATATTTTATTAAGTATTTGTTATACCGACATACTTTACTAAAAATTGCAAAAGTCATTGTTTTAGTCAACATTTACATTATCGTGCATGTTAATAATTAAAATTCAATGTTCCAAACATTACATGCAATAACTATTAACATCATGTTTCTTCATTTGGCTCTGTGCTTTTCTTTATCTCAAATTTCTCTCATAAATAATACTGATGCAATGTTCGATAGTCCAGATGAATGCATGTAGCATTATAATTATTTTTGGACGTTCATGATTTATCTATCAATGAATGCGTAGGTGCGGTTGCAGGGTCGGATTTGTTGTATCTATCAACGCAGCATCTAAAATATTCATAGAATAGGAGTGGTCTTCAAAAGATTTAATGAGGTGATCTTATTAAAAAACATATTATTCAAAAGCATTGACTTTTAACAACGGAGTAATGTCAGAAAAACAAAAAATGTTTGTTATTTTTTTATGGTAAAGGGGGTAGACGAGCATACGGATCACCTGATGGTAAGTGATTACCGTCGCCCATGGACACGTGCAACATCTGAGGGGATAGAAGCGCGCTGCCGGCCTTTGAGGGACGAATATGATCGTAGGGAGGGAAGGGTTGAGGGGTAGAGGGAAGGGAATAGGGAAGGGTTGGGCCTCCGGTAACCTCACTCACACGACGAAACACAACGCAAGCGTTGCTGCACGTCGGTTTTCTGTGAGGCCGTGGTATCACTCCGGTCGAGCTGGCCCATTCATGCCGAAGCGTGGCTCTCCCACGGGAGATTTATGTTGGATTACTGTTCGAAATTTTTTGATATTCAATAAATCAGTCAGTCCCTCATCCCTAACGAGTGCTCATACAGCTAAACAAACAAGAAGAAAAGCTTAGTAATTTGCTTTTGACGACCTCCTGGATATTGAACAGAGCTTTAGTAAACTAAATCACAAAAATTATAATTAAAAAGAACTTTTACCAAACAAGATTTTGTATAGACAAATCAAACGAGCCCAAACACGATGGGGTTACTTATTTTAATTAAAGAGGTCTCATGGCTATCTTTAGGTGTTTGATAATAGAAAGACCACATACCCCAACATTTAGGTATCACTAAAGATAAGAAACCTAACTTTAACAAACATATAAAAAAATAAGAAAACCATCATCACTAAAGATAAGAAACCTAACTTTAACAAACATATAAAAAAATAAGAAAACCATCATTTGTTTTCAAGCAACTACGTTCTGTTGTGGACAAAGATACAATCAGGTACATTACCTAACACTCTATCAATCAGTAATAGCATACTGTATTTCTTCATGAGGTGGTGCATCAAAAACCTCAATGCTACAATTTGAAAGAGCTCGAAGACCCCTTGGTTGGTTGAAGGGCCTCTTGGGAAGATTTCATTGATAAAATTTGAATGGGCCCCGACTGTGCGTCGTTCTGATCTGTATTACTTAACAGTATTCTAAACTACTGGGCTTGTTTCTTTCTTTTTAGTTTTTAAGTTAATTTTTAATGTATTTTTTTAAATTCGTTTTTACGCAGTTGGGTTTTTGTTTTACTTTAAATTATTTATTTTATACTTTTTAGTTACGATTCGTTGCCTTCGTTATAAGATGGTAAATTTCGCAATCTAGTCATTTCATTGAGGGAGATAATATCGTTTGTTAAACAACTTTAAATCGTTATATATCCTAAACTATCGTTTAAAATGAAAAATGATAAAAGGAACCTAAAGATGATTTAAAAATACCCATTCAACGACACCCCACTTGACATAGTCCATCGTTTTTTTTTTTCATTTTGACAATATGGCGTCTGGTTGTTGGTGTGGTGAATTTTGATTACTGTCATTCCTTTAGTGTCACTCGCAAGGTTAACACGAATCGATTGACGTAAGAATCATCAAAAGAAAAGCTTTCTTAGCATTAATTAGTTTAACCATATCACGACGGATACGATTTTACTAACTTAAAGTCTCTTATTATTTATGTATACTATTAATATTTTACATATTTTTATATAATAGTTCCGTCGATTCTGGTTTGCTCACAGTCAACCTAATACGCCTCTCGTCAAGTCTCTCGTCGTCACATCTAATCTTTGATGTGACCTAAACTTACCTAACCGTTTCATTAAGAATAAGCGATTCTCTTCTGGCTTCAGAACAAATCAAACGATCACTTCTATTCCATATGAATATTGCATTG